GCGTCGTAACACGTTGTTGACAAGGTCATTGAAGGTGACGGGTGCTGCCTGTCTACTAATGTCGTAAAAGTTCAAGTTGTCAAGCAATATCCCTGCTGTTGGTGCCAACCTGAATCATGCCTAGTGCACGTTCTCTTTCGTGAGGTGTTAACCTCGGCATCTCTGTCCTCGTTTCACAATCCTTAGTGAAGCAATGGGAATCGGTTCTCATACACCTGCTTTTAATGCCACAGTCAGTTTGACTTCTGAATGAAATTCGCGCTTTTTTCATGGCGTGGATGCATGTTGATGCATTTTGGAATTAAGAGTCATACTGTGGACAGGCATTTTTTTCAACTGGACATGCCCTTCGACTTCATGTTAGTTATATTCATTGATCATTGTCATGCTGAAATTCTTCTTGATGAAAATATGGACAATTTTAGACTGGTGCGTTTTCAATGATGTTCAGTATATAAAGCACATACAGTCCCAGAACTAATATTAGATTGCAAGCCTATCATCGTTATAAAGGAAACTAGCTTCCTGGGTATTATTTACGGTCCCTATTTAAACCATCAACCTCGCATAAAATGGTTACAATACATGGCGGAAGGCACTGGATATGTTGATAGTTGTTTCAAAAAGTAAGGAGTAGATCAGAAAATCAGAGCCCTGGTCAGTATTAAACATCATTTATGACATGACTTGTAAAAGAAATTTAAAATATTTGATTCTGTTCACCACCAAAAATTAATGCTCATAACGTCGCCAATTCATAGTTTATATGTGGTCTTAAATTATCTTTATAGTACATTTCTAAATGCTACTAAATACAATACTGCATATGACTGTTATTTAACATCTTTTTACAGAATTCTAGAACAACAGATCATCACTTCTTCCACCACTTAGAATAAGAATACTTGTGTAATCTGCTACGTCTGCAGGTACAGCGCAATCTACAATTCAACATTTTTGTCAACCATGGCAGTTCATGAGGCCAGAGATGGACCTAACTTTAACTACGAACGACAATATATTGAATTGTGAAACACTTATGATACTAACAAATCATACTAACTTCACAGATAGACTAACAAATCATACTAACTTGAGGAATAGACCCTCGGATGGTGGTACAGATATTAGGGCTATTATCATTGAATCCAGAAAAATACCTTAATGATTACCGGTGCCATTGTTACAACAGAGGCTGGTGCCATACTAAGAGCTCTAAACATGTAAATGACCAGCCTAATGTTGAGAGTTCATCATATATTCAGATTATATCTAATGTCTTCAGGCTATTATAAGCATGGTTTCTAAACATCCACTGGCCACGTGTTTTATTGGTTACCGAAAATATTAGCATTTCTGGTAACACAATGGTGGATGCTGTAGCTTATTAGAGGTGCTATCCGTGATCTAATGACAGAAATGGGACACCCAAGGAAATGTAAATAAGTTACATCAAATTAAACCAACTCTCGGTTATACATACTCGGGTTGTCATTCCGGATTTGAAATAATGTCATCAGGGTATGTACGTCCATGTCATTCAAACAATATATTAGTTTTCCACGTATTTATTCGTAGAATACGTGTTATCTTAATTCATGTTTAGATTTGTCAACCATAGCGTGCAACTGAAGGAATGGTGAACATCCAGCTACAGTCCATGCATGCAGGAAAGGTACTGTACATCCCCATGTTCTCTAGTATGGGGATCTACCTTCATTTCCTGGCAATCTATAGCCCGTTTTATGACGTTAATGTTACTTACTAGTATTAAATATAAATCTGTGATAGTCTAGTTTTAACTTTTTGAGAGGAATTTTAGAAGATGTAAAGATGAAGGAAAACCAGGTTCTATGGCTAGTCAACTTCTTTATTGCAGTGAGTGCGACGCTTCGATGTTGGTACTAACACCGTTTTTAAGACACTGAAACGTCGCACCCATTGCAATCAAGAAGTTCACTAGCCCATAGAACCTAGTTTTCTTATATTCTAGTTTTTTTAATAACCTTTGTTGAAAGACTTTACTTGTAGCACCATGAGCATACGAGCTGGCGTGGAGATTAGCGCTTTACAAATTCACTCATTATAATATCATTATTATTAAAGATATTCATAACGTTAACGTATGGGTTGTTTTACTATATAGCTCTATTAATCACGATATGGCTGCAATAGTGCCAACGTGACGAAAATATCTTAACTCACTCAAGCACTATTAGTACATACCACGAGTGAGTGATTAAGAGGGTTTGTATTATTATTTTAGGATACTTATATAGTGCACATATCCACGCAACTAGTACATGCTCAAGGCGCTGGAGTGTTCCCTCGATCAACGGATGTCTTTTTGTCTGACATTGTTTTAACCAACTCAACTCCGTGGGGAGTATTCAACTCATGCGGGTAGTTATCACACAGACCCAACCTCACAAAGTACCCATATGCAGCTATGTGAACTGGGACGCACAGTCACAGTATTTTGTCCAATGATACTGCATGTTACTATACCCATAACTAGGACTGGTGTCTGCATATGTTCGTGTGTCCAACTTCTGGGCACCTATAGCTACCATCGAATGAGTGGGTTCTTTTAAGTGTACAGCACAACGTTTGTAACATCATTTTGAACAGTATTTCAGAATATCTCATATGCATATACTAGTTATTTACTACATATAAGCAAGATAGCACAGCTGCGGAAATTTGTTTCGTAACTATAAATATTCATTACTCACCTATATGTACGCGTACTTACATGTATATGTATTTCATATAGTGTTTGTAGGTGCATGTTGCTGTGTCTTATTTATTATATGTATTGAAATTATACATTTCAGATATGCTGTAGATATGTTGTATATATAATGGGTCCACCAAGGGTGTTCACGTATGGAAAATAGCCAAAGAAATACTTTTCATAACCGGCGTCTTTAGCCTGAAAGAAGGCATGCGGTTAAAACGAGAAATGTTTTCCTTAAATTTGTGCAAGAAATGGGAAAAAAAACATGCGGACGAGACCAATTGAAGCAAAGTCATTATCGAGATAAAAAGTTACTGAGTGTAATGGGATGTCTCAATAGATGTGTCCCATTTCTATTATTTTGTGTGTGCAGGGTCAGTAGTATGTATTACGCTTAAAACCTGAGCATAATACATGGTCAGAGGTACGATGGTTACAACCAAGTATCATTATCGTGTCAAATGTGAGATTCGAAACCCACCATGTCATGGCTCTGGCAGTAGTAGACACACATTTGCAGTAGTCATATACAAGCAGTTGCCACATCTACATAGTTCTTTGTCTGTACATTGGCTGAACTGATTTTGTCTCAAAATCAGCATTAGAGGTACAACATTTACATGATTCGCATCTTAATATACAGGTATACAATATGCATCATTCACCGTGTCAGTTTCAATGGGAAACCCATGATTTGTGGTTCTGAATATAAGACTCATATAAGAGGTCTGGCGTCTAGGATGGTAATACGAACAATACCACACAGTTATTCATAATAATCATATGTTTGAAACTAAGGTAAAAATCACAGAAGTGAATTTCGTCAACAGTACCTTTTAATTCAGTGGAACAACCATCGAGGCTTAACTCAACACATCATTAGGGTACGGAACACGTGGTTTGAGTGATTTGAGCATCTAACAGATTATCATGACCCCGACAACAGCATGCAAGCTGCATAATTTACAAAAGCTGACCAAAAGATGCTTATTCTGACATCACAATAATTGTATGACGACATATTGTTGGTCAGTGGTTACATATAGAATATATAGTCCACGTCATACATAGCAGTCATACAAACATTTCTGATGATTTTGGAAAGTCTAATTGAAAATACCTCCAGATCGATACTCAGATCAGTCAAACCGTTCTGCATTGAAAGTTAAACACGAATGTTGGAAACATTGTTAGTAATACAAATTGGAAACAGCTGATAGAAAATTTAAATTGCAAATAACTCACGCATTAAAACACGTTATGTCACACGAGGTCACGTCAGAGACACTTACAAGAAAGAAGAACGCATAGAAGCGGCAAACAGATCAAACTGATACGTTACAGCAGATATATTTATGAGATCTTCGAACAAACAGTAGCGTCAAAGGTCCAGATTGATACGTCACAGTACATATATTTATGAGAACTTCGAACAAACAGGAGTGTCAAAGGTTCAGATTGATACGTTACAGTACATATATTTATGAGATCTTTGAACAAACAGTAGCGTCAAAGGTCCAGATTGATACGTCACAGTACATATATTTATGAGAACTTGGACAAACAGGAGTGTCAAAGGTTCAGATTGATACGTTACAGTACATATATTTATGAGATCTAAGAACAAACAGGAGTGTCAAGGGACCAGATTGATACGTCACAGTACATATATTGATGAGAACTTGGACAAACAGGAGTGTCAAAGGACCAGATTGATACGTCACAGTACATATATTTATGAGAACTTGGACAAACAGGAGTGTCAAAGGACCAGATTGATACGTCACAGTACATATATTTATGAGAACTTGGACAAACAGGAGTGTCAAAGGACCAGATTGATACGTCACAGTACATATATTTATGAGAACTTGGACAAACAGTAGCGTCAAAGGTCCAGATTGATACGTCACAGTACATATATTTATGAGAACTTGGACAAACAGTAGCGTCAAAGGTCCAGATTGATACGTCACAGTAAATATATTTATGAGAACTTGGACAAACAGTAGCGTCAAAGGTCCAGATTGATACGTCACAGTACATATATTTATGAGAACTTGGACAAACAGTAGCGTCAAAGGTCCAGATTGATACGTCACAGTACATATATTTATGAGAACTTTGACAAACAAGAATGTCAAAGGACCAGATTGATACGTCACAGTACATATATTTATGAGAACTTGGACAAACAGGAGAGTGAAAGGACCAGATTGATACGTTACAGCAGATATATATATATATCTATAATAACTTCGAACGCAAAGGAGCGTCAAACGGCCAAATTGATAAATCACAGCAGATATAGTTTATGAGAACTTCGAACTAACAGGAGCGTCAAATGGCCAGATTGTGAGGCGTTACAGGAACAGGTGTACCAGAACTGATACGACTAGCGATGTTATCGCAAACGTCACGTGATCAGCAGCACTCCCACCTTAAACGAAATAGAACACAAATTATTAATGCTTTACGACAATCTAAATACTCCTTTATGTCTAAGTATGTCATTATGACTTTAAGCATCATCTAGGGCACTAACACTAAGGACATAAGCACAAAAAGGTGACAAGTTTAATTTTTCTACAAAAGTGACATAAGTAATATTCCATACATCGTATACCCAACCGAGACTATGACGGAGGTGATGTACACATTGTCGGAAATGCATAGTCTGAGGAGGAGTAGTATTAACGGGGTTGAAATTAAAAGTTATAAGAGTATCAAATCAGTCATGTCGTGACGATGAGGGTTATACATTAATGCTAACAAACTTAAGCAACATAAATATCTGTCGACAAGGACAGTGAAATAACCTTGATATGTATACTTAAAACTGACATGTTGCCTCAACACGTTGTTTATACCCAAAACTACAATAAAATAGGGACTACAGATCGCTAACAAAATTACCAAAGTAACTGAGTTTGTGAGTTTAGTTTCACGTCGCACTCAGCAATATTCCAGCTTATGGCATCGGTATGTAAATAATCGAGTCTGGACCAGGCAATCCAGTGATCAACAGCATGAACATCGTCGGACATTGTCGGAAATGCATAGTCTGAGGGATAGTAGTACTAACAGTGGGGTGCAATTAAATGTCACAGCGGTATCAAATCAGTCATGTCGTGACGATGAGGGTTATACATTAATGCTAACAAACTTAAGAAACATAAACACCTGTCGACAAGGACAGTAAAATAATCTTGATGTCACAGATTTAGGCTTAAAACCAGATGTTGTCACAAAAATACAATAAAACAGGGGCTACAGATCGCCAACAATACTATAGGTAAATCACCATATCAGAGACCGTCGGGACGGGCAGTGTTTTGCTACTTGCGTGGCAAGTGGATTTACACCATCCCTTCAGTGGTTGCTGATTATGTAATATTTAGCCATGAACCGAACGAAGAAATATTTGATGTAAAAAAACCCAAAATATTGTAGGATGTATATATATTTTGAAACACGTGGTCAATACAATATACTTACATTTGGCAGTGGTTGTTTTTGCTTCGGTGTCAGTCACAAGAGCTTCCTGGGTGATGCTGGTACACCCTGCCTCGGTGCCGGTGGTGATAGCAGAGAGGCAGGTCTTCAGTGTAGACAGAACACTGCCAGAATATAAAACATAGACATTAGCGTTTGTCCTATAAGTGCAGTGAGCAGATTGTTGGAAAACGAGAATGACCAACCCTGAAACGCAGATTCCACAAAGTCACATGTCGGTGGACATTGTGTTCCTGTAAAGCGGTTAGAAGTCAATCACCGAATGGTTAACTATGTCAATATCATGTGTGTCCAGCATACATTCGCATGCACGACAGCTTGGTGGTATGCCGTTGCTCACTAGAGTGTGGCTGCTCTTCAAATTGCCCACCATTAAGCCTATCTGTATCTGTCTGTCTGTCTATCTCTCGATCAGCCGGTACCAAACTTGCGATCATACATGTGCGTCCAAATCTTTGCAAAAATCAAGGGTTGTGATAATTGTATTTTGACGCATCTAGTAAATCATATTTCCGCTGGGTGTGTGAGAGTTTAGTTTTACGCCGCTTTTAGCAACATTCCAGCAATATCACGGCAAGAGACACCAGAAATGGGCTCCACAAATTATACTGATGTGGGGAATCGAACTCGGGTCTTCGGCATTAGGTTATCCCCACCCGCCCCGCCTTGTTCAACTAATGGCTGAAAGACATATTCGAAAACAGTCGAATGCAGACTGTGTTCAGCAATGTTGATAATAGGTTGAGGTTCAAACACTCACGTGCAGTACGTTGTGGTTGAGGCTGCGTCTCCTTTCGCAGCGTTAATCTCACATTGGCAAGTAGCAGTTGGAGCTGAAACATGTTTTAGATTTATAAAGGAATGGTTTTATAGTTACTCATGTTGTCTTGTATACAATTACACTTTATATGCTTCAGACATAATGGATTAAAAAAGAAGACAAACGAAATATACATCTTTCAGATAACTACTGGATGGCTTTGTGATTATTTTTTATCACTCCTTATTCGTATAATTAATCAGATTTACATCACTGAACAGGTCTTCAGGTCCATTTCGTTGACCTCTATAGTCTTATTTAACTAGCTTGGCCTTCTATCATCAACACATATAGACGTTGGGACAGCTCAAATAGTTTCCAATAGTTGAATTATAAATTCGCTAATTTCGTCTGAGGTTTATGAATTATGTATAAATATCATGGATTTGTCACATACATATGTATTTTTGAAGAAATTACCAGGACATTCGGCAGTTTGCAGATCAGCTCTTGCGGTGTCAGTAGCCGTTGCAACGGCGCTCTTTTTGGTGGTGCCGTCACAGCCTGCAGCTTGCGCGGTTCTCAGGCAGCTCAGCTCATTGTTATAAGCACTATGATACAAACATGTACACTTTAGTTTTAAATAAAATTACCAGCATGAACCTTTATGTATATATTGCATATGTCCATAAACCAAATGAAATAACAGTAAAGGTATGACAAAAAGTCATATAATTGCAAAACCACAGACATACTTAACACATACATGTTGTTGCAGATATTAATCCTTTATGTTTATTAGTTTAACCCAATGGTACGTTAGGAGGATTCATTAGTGTCTATACTATGGTGATTGCTAGTAAGAATACATGTATGTATGTATTCATATGAAACAACTGAACTCACGTGCACTTGTTGGCATCTGAAGCAATAGTAGTCTTAGCAGTATTGATCTGACACTGACAAGAGTCGGAGATAGCTACATGTAAACATAATAAGGACCATTATTATTATGATGATGATGATTATGATAAAGATGACACGATCCTTTAAATGTCAGATGTATAAATTATTCGTGTTAACGTCAGTAAGTACACCTGAGTTTCCATCCAAACCATATCACCGTCTCTTTACATCTTAATTGCAGTACAAACGTAAATGATTAGATGTTACCAGTGACTATTCGTGTCAAATAAGATGTTATGTGACCTTAATCCCCCATATGGAATGCTGTCAGTTTAAATTGTACGAACAATTACCCATTACTCAACTACAGTTGGGCCTACTTTTATGCTCAGCTTTGGTGGTATGTGTCTCATTCAGTAATTAGCATCCAGCAATCTTTTAATTATGATCGATTTAATTGTCTACAACCATACAGCTTAAACCTAAACCATATACTATAATTGTGTGTGAAGTACTTCCCTTTTGTCGCAAATAGCAACAACAGCTGGTTAAGGGCAACAACACTATTACAAAGAAGTGTGTTTCGTCGTTTTTACACTGTACCTTCAACACTGTGTTTCCTTGAAATCGTGCAACTACATGAAAACATGACGTGAGCAACCCCAAATAAACTAAAGAGGTTAAATTAAACATACCACAGTCTGTTGTTCCCAGACCTGTCATCCTAGTCTCTACACCAGTTGCCAGAGCTACCACAGTAGTGCTCGTATCACAGGCTTCTTCTGTTTCTCCTTTCAGACACAGTATGTAAGCCTTGGCGGCGCTGTTGGTGCAACAATTTTACGTGACGCCACATATTTTCGATGGGGTAATAAAAGCGAAAATGGTTCATTTATGTTTTCTTGGCTAGACAGGAGAACCCATTTCAGTTTACTTCATCTGCCCTTTAACCAGATGTATCTTACATAAACTAGAAATAGTGGTAAGAGAATAATGTACTCTCCCCCAAAAACGCATCATGAAAATAGCAATTTCATGTAGCAATGAATTAAAATGTGATTCATTTTGCAAAAGGTTTTGCTCTGTTTATGAGTCCTATGGTGTTTATGTTTTGAAACATCACAACAAAACGCACCATCCGTAAAATACCCGTATTTAACAGCATAATTTTCAATTTCGGCGTGTAGTGTCACAGAATACACAATTCACATGCAATGCCCGTGAAAGTTGGGGATCAGATAGTCTCAATGATGGGTATAAAAGGTTGATCGCTGTCTGTCGATTATTCACTGTATTTGGAATATTGTTGACGAACGCAAAATGCCACGTCTAAGTGAAGCCAACCGTCATATCGCCATTGGTTTGCTTGAAGCTGGCCAGTCTCAACGTGCAGTTGCCCGACGCATGAATGTTCACCAAAGCACCATTTCACGGCTCTGGGAGATATATCGCCGGCAGAATGCGGTAGCAGATGCCCCTCGTAGTGGGCGACCTCGAGCAATCAACTGCAGGGCAGGATCGCTACATCCGGGTACATCATCACCTGCGTCATCGAACAGCTACGGCGACCAGTACCGCTCGACAAATACCCGGATTGAGGAGGCTTTCTGCACAGACCGTCAGGAACAGGTTGAGAGAGGCTGGTTTACGTGCCAGAAGACCTTATTTTGGCCCTGTGCTTCGACAACAACATCGTCGACATCGAGTTCAATGGTGCACCAACGTTCAGGCCTGGAACCTACCGAATTGGCGTAGAATCTGGTTCAGTGATGAATCACGATTTCTATTGGAACGACGCGATGGAAGAATGCGGGTGTACAGACGTCGACGTGAACGTTTCGCCGACGCTTGCGTTCCCCAGGTGGAAAGATTCGGCCGGGGCAGTGTTATGATGTGGGGAAAGATCACCTGCCGTAGGAGAAGTGATTTGGTGATGATCCAGGGCAACCAGACAGCTCAACGGTACTGTGACGAAATCCTACGCCCAGACCTCCTTCCAATCATTGATCGCCAGAGGGAGTTGTTTCAACAGGACAATGCCAGGCCCCACACAGCACGTCACACTAGAGACTTCCTCCAGAACCACAACATCAATGTGTTCCCCTGGCCCTCAAGATCACCGGACTTAAACCCGATCGAACATCTGTGGGATGCCCTGGACAGACGGGTGCGACGCCGTAACCCTCAGTCCCAGACACTTCAGCAACTCGCACAGGCACTACAGGCAGAGTGGGCTGCGATTGGGCAACACGAGATTCTGAGACTTATTCGTTCGATGCCGAGGCGATGCCGCGCAGTTCTGGATGCCCACGGTGGTCATACGAGGTATTGACTTCAGCGCCACCACACGTCTCCATGTGACACTCAAACTGACTTTCCTCGAGTTGGTGCCAAAGACGGATAAGTCTGCATTCCCAGTGTGCAATTTCGCTATATTTCATTGACGCATAAAGCCTACAAGATGTTTCAAAATAAACATAAAAATACAGTTGAAATTCCCATATGCGTTTCTTTTTTGGGACAGTATATGTCAGATACTTATTATTGAGCCAAACTGCCCATCGCACATGACGTTGCATGTATTTGTGACGGGTGACACCTGTGAGTGAGTGAGTGAGTGAGTATGGTTTTACGCCGCTTTTAGCAGTATCCCAGCAATATCACGGCGGGGTCACCAGTAGGTGCCACCTGTGAAACAGAATACGCTCACCTTTGCGAAAATACCTAGTTTATACAGTGCACACTGTGTTTACCAGAAAGTTATTCCATTCTACATGTTTGTATTTATTACCTGCAGACAGCTGCAGCACCGGCACTTTGGTCCGTCTTCCAGAAATCCTTCTGACATTTGCAGGTTGCCGTAAATGCTGACTCTATACAACAAGAATACACACGGTCATATAGAAATCTAACATTAAAATATTAGTTTCTGACTGGTTAAGGAGCAAGCAATTATTTGCCGTGAGTGAGCGGTCTACATACCTCCACTACAACTAAAGGCAATGTAGTCAGTCTCAATAACGGCAGCGTCAGCAGTTGTCAGCGGACATCCGGTGTCAGTCTTCCCAGAAGTCTCCAGACAAGTCAGATACGCTGCGAGTACGCTATGAAAGAGACATACACCACTGAAAACTATGTTTAGGAGTAAGTGATTTAATATTTAAACTGACATCGGCAATATCTCGGTTTTATCGTGACAAAAACAATTTATACAATAAAGATGAAAACATTTTGAAGAGTAAAAACTGTCGACGATGGACGGTAAAAATACTACAGTATCACAGATATGAATACAAAACTAGCGTGACAAACTAAAACATTTGGTTTTAGAAGAAAATACGATATAAAACACGGGCTATAAATCGCCAACAACTGAAGACTATGCAGAGGAAAAAGTTTTGAACTTTGCATGTGGAAACTTCACTAGCAAGTTGGTATGATATATATGATCTTGGCTGGTAAATCGGAAAAGTGTTATTTGCCCTTTTGTTTTAACTGAAAGTCGACATTATGGTCCATGTACAACATCCATGTTTCGCTACGCCAGAAATAACGACAATGAAAGCATTGAAGGCATTGCTGATTTTAATACTGGTAAGACACCTCTTGAAGAATTGAGTTTGGCAATGCAAAGACAGTGAGTGAATGCCAGGAAGCGGTTCAGGAACTGAGACTAACTGCAAATTTGATACCTCTTACTTTAATTTGGAAGCGAGAGCTATGTTTTAAGAATAAAAGAGCATTGCATCTGGCGAAAAGTATGCTCCTTGGGTTAAAAACACGAAACATAGCAAACGTATATTGACTGACTGAGTTTGGTTTTACGCCGTTTTTTTTCAATATTCCAGCAATATCACGGCGGGGGACACCAGAAATGGGCTTCACAAATTGAACTGATGTGGCGGATTTAACCCGGGCGTGACGATCGAACCCTTTAACCACAAGGTTACCCAACGTATGGAACCATTCTAAACATTTATTGATATGGATTCAGCTATGCAGCGCCCCAAGGTATAAGAAGACTTTATGTACCCGCCTTCCATATCCAGAATATTTTGGCTACAGGAATGCTGCAATACTAAAGTGTGCCAAAGTTACTGCATATTTCCAAAAGTGTTTATTGTTTCCCTTTAACCTATAAATGTTTACGTGTCAAATTCTAGATTATATAAATTATTTTTGAAGTGATAACACAACAGACATTTATTACTCATATTTGTTTTCCCAAAGGAACATTATCGATAGAAATTCGAAGGGACCTAACTCTTCCGCGCTGAAAACCTATGATCTCCGCAATGCTATTTCAGTACTGTTTAGTACTTTAGTTCCCCAGCGTGACTTCATTAAAGGTCACATGCAACGTAAAACATAACTTTGCAGATTCTGATACCTTTCGGTGTGGACCTACCGAAACAAATCATCAAAAATGCAAATTCAACTTATAAAGTTGAAAAATAACGCGATGAAAAAAACCGCGCGAAATCGGAGTTCAAACGATTCACTTATTTTCCCCCGACTTTTCGGGGGAAAACTGGTTTCAACAGCTGGGCTGCGCTCATAGCACGTGCGCAGTGAAATAGGTTCGCGCAACTTGGAAGCGGGCTGTCCGGTGAATACTCGGTGAAGGCTTTGGTGTGAGCTATTTTCCTAATGTTTTGTTGATATCTCACAGGCGCGAGCTTTTTATATGTTTTGACAGTAAATAAACTGTTTGTATAATTTCATTTGTCTATTTCACCACACGTTCTTCTTACCGAGTCACTTTCTCAGTTCGATACTTAAAAGCAATGTCATTATTTAGCGTTGACAGAATTTCTAACTGTGATATAGATATGTCGTTGTCACAGACAAAACTCAATGTCTTGTTTTATTGACACCTGTGTGTCTGCCTGCCTGTCTGCTAATGACAATATTCAATACACAACTGCGATCACTGACCACATGCAATTTGAACCTAACACCAATCAGGCTATACACCATAAACAAAACGCATTGATTTATGGCCCGAGTTCGGTCTCTGTCACATTATGTAATTGCACAGACAGGCAGGTGTGATACTTGAACACATGACATGTTATGATGTCTGTTGATTGCAAAATGTTATACACAAAAAATGAGCATGTTTTAACAAAACCCAACATCTCTATATATACACACACAATGGGCCGTGAGAGCATCTGCAAATGAACCAGCCGTTACACTTGAGTGCACACCCACCCGCTCTGACTGGGTTCGGTATCCCGGCTGCTTCGTTTCTTGGGAAGTAAACCCAAGTACACAATATTGCACTTTTGCTTTGCGATTGTACACTTATAATTTTGTTTATATGTTTTTTCATAACCAGCAATGTATATTATATGTCATGAATAAGTGATAATTGTGTTTTAATTATGTTTGATTTTTTGGTTGCATGTGACCTTTAAGATTGTTTTGTACGAGGCAGTTGACTTTATCTAGCTAATACCATTAGCTCACGTATTTTGGACCAATTTATTATCCACTTCATACATAAAACAGCACATTTTAAAACACATTTGATAAAAATAACTTTTCTGGTAAATAATAGTTGATGTCTCCATGTGAATTGAATTAAAGTGCCAAAGGTTGCAAAGTGTCCAGGAGCCGGACAAGTTGGGTTCAAAATACCCGTAAAGTTTCATATGCACCGCGATTAACAAATTAAAATTCTTCTTTTTTACCTATTGGTGATACCCGTGAAGAACCGGGTTAGAATTGGTCTTCAGCAACACATGCTCATAAAAAGGAACTGATAATTGAGCCCACAGAAATGATTATAGTGATAATCAACGGTGAATGTGTTGAGATAGTGTCGGAGTATAATCTTCATTGACTCTAAGCTGAACTGGAACTCTAACACTGAAGCCCTATACATAAAGCGTCAACAACGTCTTCATCTCATGCGTAAACTGAGATCTTTTAATGTTAACCCATCTGTGATGTCATCTTTTTATGCAGCATGTATTCAGAGTATTTGAACATTTTCCTTCCTTTGTTGGTAAGGGTCACTCTCAGTTCATCTCACATCTAAAATAGACAAAATTGTTAACACTGCATGTAAAATCGCTGGAGTCGGATTTGAATGTTTATCATCAATATATGAGCGGCAAATCGTGAATCAAGCTGTCAAAATTATATCTGACCGTACTCACTACTTAAATTCGGATTACAACCTCCGCCCTTTAGGCCGCCGCTACAAAGTTCCAATTGTGAAAACTAAGAGAGCCCTTACATCCTTTACTCCCAGTACTATATCTATCTTAAACAATGTGAAGATACCTAAACCAATGAATTTATGTAATATGTTTTGTATCTCTCTGATGTGTCAGTAGCTCTGCTGATGTAACACAAATTCCTGAAGAGGCATTAAAGTATTATTCTATTCGATGCTTCTCGTAAGAGGTGACGAACGGGATCGGTGGTCAGGCTCGTTGACTTGGTTGAAATGTTCGACGGTTTCTGAGCTTCGGAAACAAAATCTGATATCACTTAAAGTTTTATTGGATACATATCCATGCATTCAGATAATCGTGGTTCGGTTGTTTGACAGACATGTATACCTTGTCTCATTTCACACCTGAACATGCATCAGGTTTATCTCCACAGATATAATATACGTGAACTTTTGTGAACATTCGCATTTAAATAAAGTATACATACGCGCATTTTGCTGGATCGCCTGTGGCAGCGTCCTCATCTGTAGCATAAGTAGCTTTACAAGCATCACATGTTGTCGCCACAGTTGTTGGAAGGTAAGCTGAAAACAAACCAAAACTGCAGTTGAATGCATGTCAGTCAGAACAATGTTCTGGTGTGTTGTAGGGCACAAATATCAGGAGGCATATGACGTGCGTTATTGTTATGCATGTGCTGCATAAATTGTATCATCGTCCAACTGAACATTCACCTTTAGTCTGTGTGCAGTGAAAACGTAACGGTGAATTTCACTTTAAACAAAAAGTAAATCGAAATGAAGTGAAAATAAGATTAGAAATCTCGTAATTTTACCTGCCAATTTAACATTTAAAATTCACAATTGTTTAACAAACGATAATAGTTTCAAATTGGTACTATTGGGTTGTATTACAAGGGGTATGCATATTGAATGAAGCGCCGAGAACAAGTAGGGCTGGTCTAAGTTAACGCTCATCACGTACCGCACATGCATTTGTTTCACTGTTCCAACTACTGCGCTTACCCCCCTTGTAACACAAACCAATAATAGCGATTTAAATCTATGATCGTTTGTTAAACAACTTTTATCCTAAGTTGAATAAAATTCTGGGATGTACATGATCAAGTGGCACGGTAAAAGTATGAGGATTGGCAATCTTATATTTTCAAATTCATCGGTACTTTTCACTGCAAACAGACTATAAGGTTAGTATGTTTCAGTGGGCACGTTTTTCCGCCCCGTCAAATGAAACTTATTTGATAAACACAATAACGAGTTTTACATCGATAACTCGGTGTATCTCAAACTATGTAACTCACGATATGGCTGAAACATCGCCCATATGACTATAACTCTATCACTCACTCAAATTATGTACTATTATTTCCCAAAGATAATTACAGTTATATAACCACTTGTTTTCATTTGTATTTTAAGTAATATCTATGCTATGCTATGATATATTAAGGTAAGTGATACTGTAACCGATTACCTGTAAATTAAAACATAAATAGCATAAAATGACTTACAGTGAGTGAGTGAGTTAAAATTTATCGTCCCATCGGCAATATTTCAGCCATATCGTGACGAGAACAATTAAGTTTATACATAGTACTTGATGGTAAATTGTAAAACCTGTCAACGAAAGACACTAAAATAACTAGATTATCACACATTCGAATTTAAAACTAGTAATAAAAACTATGGATGACAACACAAGGTAAAAACAGGCTACATATTGCCAACAACTGTAGATCACCATGCTAGGGACTCTGGAGACTTACAGTACATTTGCATCCTGCATGGACTCTAGCTGGATTAAAATGACTTAGAGATATAGTATGACCAGAAATTATTGAGAATTTTAGTAATATGTTT